TAAAATGGCCGCCAGTCGGCCATTTCGAACTTGACTCGGAAAAAAAATGACGTGCATCAAGGTCCTATTATGGTTAATGTATGTACCAAATTTGAACTAAATCCGTCCATGCATCACTGAGATCCGGGTCCGGAATGGTGAAAATGTGCGATTGCAATGCATTTTCGGCCTTAAAGCGGCCGCCATTTGGCTATCGTTAATGAGATCATGAAACAAATGCACATACATATTTGTGACATGATGTACCTTGTGTGTGTGAAGTTTGAACTCGATCAATCCAGGCATGTCTCAGATACAGATCCAGATCCAGAACTTTGGCAATCGTTAATCGGATCATGAAAAAAATGCATGTGCATATGTCCCATATAATGTGTGATGTATGAGTGAAGTTTGAACTTAATCGGTCCATGCATGTTCGAGATACAGGTGATCACCATAAGTCCCCGTTTTTGGACTACGTCTGAACGGGGACTAATTAAAATAATTATGCACCTGTAACACACACTACATATCAAAGCATTATGTTTTTCTGATATGTTTAAATAATGTCCATTTTCGCAGCACAATTCATGGTTTGAAATTAATCTTAGCCATTAGTGGTGAAAGTGACATCATTTGTTAAATAAAATACGCCAATGGTAACTTGTCAAGAGTTAATAGATGACTTTTTTTTTATGTAATAACAATTTACCATATACATGTAGATATACAATATTTGCTCAATTTCAAGTGCATGCACTTACATACTGTGAAATACTTTATTTTAAGCTGGAATTAATTTTCGCTGAAAAAGACTTTTTGGGTGTTTTGTATGGAGTTTAATTTTTGATGACTTGAAAAAAGGCATATTCGCTGGATTTTATTTTCACTGAATCTTTCAGTCAGCGAAAATAATTTACAAGCGAATATTAAGTATTTTACAGTAAATGATAGACGTGCCAATGCAAAAAATAAAACATATTTCAATGATCCAATATACAATTAATTCAATTTTGTTTTGTTTATGTGCACTTCTATTGGAAATACATTAATAGCCCAAATATGGAATTGTCTGTCCAAATACGGTATTGTCTGTCCAAATATGGTATTGTCTGTTCGCTTCTAGAATTACAGGCACACAATATATATGGAATTCATGTTTCCCACCAAAGTACAAATTTATAAAACGCTTTGTTATTAATGTACAGTTAATCGATAAATCACTCATCATGGCTGACGTGAGAAAGTTGTGGAAATAATGACATACGTTCCCAGGGAATTTCTCAATTTATACATCAAGTGAAAATAGACAGCAATATTGATATACATTCAACTTTACAGTACTGCATGCATGTACTTACTAGATTTTTTATACTTTGTCTCGGCTTTCTCAATGTCTTTTTGAGGAGCATTTTCTTTTTTCAACCTTTCGTATTCAAAACATCGATTGTTGTAATTCTCTTTAGCCTACAAAAAGAAAAAAAAATAACAAAAAAGAAGGTAAAAAATTTCAATGAAATAATTCACTGGTAGAAATTTTCATCAACAGATAAAAAAAATCGCAACAAGGAAAACATTTTTTTTCTTGTTTATTTTGTTCAAGGGTGGCCGTGGTTAACACTTCAGGAACAGGAATTTCCCAAAACTATTGTTTGTGATTGGAATTTCAAATTTTAATTGAAACATGTTTCTATAGACATTAAGCAGCTGTATTGTTGAAACTGAGACAGTGTGGATTCTATAATATTCTATAATGGTGTAAAACATTGTATTGTAGCAGGAATTAATTTTTGCTGAAAAGACTTTTGGGTGTTTCATATGAAATTTATTTTCATTGATTTCTGATGAGTTGAGCTACAACTGCTTTTAGCATACCTCCCAAAACTGGCTACTATCAGTATGTAAACACTCATTGTTGTACGAGTCTTCCATACACACATGTGCAGTTTTGATGACAGTGCCTTGTTAATAACACTCCGTGGATCAGGTAAATTCCAGCAGAAGGTAACGCAGCATTTTCTGGCAATTACAGTTTTAAATATATTAACAAGATTTAGTAATCTGACTGCCCAATATATCCAAACATGTTCCTCTATATCCAGTTTTGTAAAAAGTTTATATGGTAAATAGGTATTTGCATGAGGCAACAGAGAATTCTTAATTCAAAATTTCATTACAATCGTTCTCGCTACCTTAAAAGGGATATACAATTACATCACTAAGTCCCAGAAGTCATTATCCAAGCAAAAAATTACACTTATTGAGGGTGGTGATTAATCAAGGACAGACAGACTGGATAACTTTCGCTTAGAAATGACATTCAGTCGAGAAAAAGAGATCAGCATAATAATAATAGAATGCCATGTTATTTTTTTTTTTGTATCATAATTCAGTCTGTTAAAAGCACCACTTTTTTAAATGATAAATGAGGGCGCTGTCTCTAAATTATGATGTCATATAGGCAGCAGGAATTGATGCATG